CTGTAATCCCAGCTAGGCTGAGGCAGGAGAATCACTTGAACCCAGGAGGCAGAGGTTGCAGTGAGCTAAAATCGCACCACTGCACTCCAGCCTGGGAGACAAGCAAAACTCTGCCTCAAAAAACAAACAAAAAAATTCTGTCCTGCATGCCTACCATTTGCAAATATCCACCAACAGACAAACAAAAAAACCTCATGAGGACTGATTCCAGGAAGACAGAAAAGCAGCTGACCCCCAACCCTCCGTCTCCCCATTCCCAGCTCTTACTTGCTCCCAACACCATTCCTGTTCTGTGTAGCTTTCTGCCCTCCTTTCAGTCTTCACCTGGATTTATGATCTCTTTTGAGGACTGTTCAGACACTAGCTGAAAAAGAGCAGTGACAAAATAGACAAGGTCCTTCATTTCATAAAGTTTATTTTGAAATTATATGTGGTGGAAAGGTGAGTCTATTATGATAGACAGAAAATAAATAAATACATAATCAAATAGAGATAAATGCTGTGAAGAAAATAAAACAGAATAACATTATTCAGAAAGGCAGTGAGTGAGAGACCACGTTAGGCTGGGTGGTCAGGGAAGAAGACCTTTGAGACTGTAACACATTAGGTAAGAAATAACAATGAAAGCCAGCCACTAGAACTGTGAATTTTAAAAAAGCTCCAGACAGAAGGAAAAGATAGCAAAAAGGTGCCAAATTGAGCATCTTTAGGTATAAGTAAGGCGTGTTTAAAGAACTGAAAGAAGGGGCTGAGCGCAGTGGCTCAAGCCTGTAATCCCAGCACTTACGGAGGCCAAGGCAGGTAGATCACCTAAGGTCAGGAGTTTGAGACCAGCCTGGCCAATATGAAACCCCTTCTCTCCTAAAAATACAAAAATTATCTGGGTGTGATGGCGCACACCTGTAATCTAAGCTACTCGGGAAGCTGAGGCACCAGAATCACTTGAACCTGAGAGGTAGAGGTTGCAGTGAGTCTAGACTGTGACACTGCACGCCAGCCTGGGCAACAGAGAAAGATTCTGTCTCCAAAAAAACAAACCAAAAAACTGAAAGGAGGCCACTGTGGCTGCACGGTCACAAATGGCTTAGCATAATGTCACCATGGGGCTGTGGTAAAAGATGAGGCAGAAAGGAGAGATAGGCAGAAAAGGAGTCATGATGCGAATGGAAAGCCATTAGACAGGGTCAATGAGATCTATTTGGATTTTTTAAGATTACTCTGGCTATGGTGCAGAGAATGGCTCATCAGAAGGTAGGAATGGAAAAGGCAGACCAGTCCAGAAACTAATGTGCTAGACCAGGCAAGATACTGGTGGTATCGACCTTGATGACACCTAGTTCAGAGAAAACAAGCTGTAAATTCTTGAAAAAATATTACCAATCAAATAAAACCAAAACTCATGAAAAACTAAACCATAAATAGAACTGATATATATTTACATATCACACAGATTTTTTTTACCTTAAAATAACTAGGATATTGACCACCAGTTTCCACGGAAGGCACAGCTAACAAGAACATATTCTCTCAAGTCCGTCCCTAAAATTCCCTTGTGGTCCTTCATTAATTCCCCCTTAACTTGAGGCATGGGGCTGAGGCAGAGCCATAGTCACTGCTACTCTCCAAGGGAGAAATAGTGAGCATCCTAAAACCCCAACCCTCTATAAGGTGGCAGTCATAACTCTTTTTTTTTTTTTTTTTTTTTTTTTTGAGACGGAGTTTCACTCTTGTTACCCAGGCTGGAGTGCAATGGCAAGATCTCCGCTCACCGCAACCTCCGTCTCCTGGGTTCAGGCAATTCTCCTGCCTCTGCCTCCTGAGTAGCTGGGACTACAGGCGTGCGCCACCATGCCCAGCTAATTTTTGTATTTTTAGTAGAGACGGGGTTTCACCATGTTGACCAGTATGGTCTCCATCTCTTGACCTCGTGATCCACCCGTCTCGGCCTCCGAAAGTGCTGGGATTATAGGCGTGAGCCACCGTGCTCGGCCCATAACTCTTGATGTGCTTAAACCAGGCAATAAACAGTACAGACACAGGTGTTTCTTCCACCTTCCCCCATATTAGGATAACATTAGTTTTCCATAAGAAGCATACTGGAAATGGCTTCAGAATTGTTTTAACTATTACTCTATAACAAGTCTAGAAAAAAGGCAGTTTTTCTTCTCTCACCCACAGGGACATATCTATCACTTTTAAAATCTCAGTGCTGGAGTGCAGTGGTGCAATCTCGGCTCACTGCAACCTCTGCTTCCTGGGTTCAAGCAATTCTCCTGCCTCCAACTCGAGAGTAGCTGGGATTACAGGCGCCTGCCACCACACCCAGCAAATTTTTGTACTTTTAGTAGAGACGGGGTTTCACTTTGTTGGTCAGGCTGGTCTTGAACTGACCTCAGGTGATCTGCCCACCTCAGCCTCCCAAATTGCTGGGATTACAGGCGTGAGCCACTGTGCCTGGCTTAAAACTCTTCTTTTATGAACGTTGACAACTTAGATGAGACCCTATAACTTACTGGTTGAGAGTGAAGGCTCTGGCATCAGACAGCCTGGGTTCTCATCCTGGTTTCTCATTTGCTGTGTAGCTGAGAGTTTCTTAACTTTAATAAGCTACAATTTCATCTTTGAAACAGGAGTTCGAGAAGCCCCAAAGAATCTTAAATGGGTAAAACACGGTAAGAACTGTTTGTGAATGAAAAGGCTTCTAAGACAGGTTTATTCCCAGTCTCTAATTTCTCTCTTATAACCTTACCCTTTCAGATCTCCACCAAAAACACACATATCCACACATACTCTGCTGTGTACACACACATGTACACACACACACACACACACACACACATTTCTAGGTAAGAGCCTGCATTCTTCAGAGAAAGTGGTATTTAACTGCTGCAACCACAAGTCACTTACTTACTTAAAATAAACCACTGTAATTTAGCACAGATTTTTAAAGTCCTGGAAACAAAGGATAACCATCCCTGATTCTGTATCCAAATTCCCTCACCCCACCAGCTCAAAAGCTTTCAGTGGCTCCCCATTTTTTCTATGAAAAAAAAAAAAAGATCCACTCCCTTTTTCCAGGAGTTTGTGGACCCCATGGCCATATTAATTTATATTACACTACCTAAGGGTAGCAAGACTTGGAATCCAGTGGAAAACCTTGGACACTACCAAGCATTCCCTAAACAATTTGCTGCCGTATAAGGAATGGAAGGCCTGGTGAGGAAAGGTTCAGACTCTCTCAACATCGAGAATGGATGAGCTGGGTTTGAGACAAATGAATAAGGCTCATAAAACATCTTCTAAGAACGTTTTCTAAATACTGGCCCCTGTAACCGGCCACTGGGCAGTATTTACGGAATGGACACCAGGGGGTAGCAAAATCTCACTCTCCTAGCTCGCAGTCCCTCGTAATAAGGAAGCTGGAGAGTGTCGGTGACTCGAGGGTCGCATAGCCTGGTGTTAGAAAGAGCTCCAACTCCACGGCTCTAACTGTGCGGGGAAGATGGTTGCTGGGGCTTGTTGCCTTGGGTCGTTTTTTGACTCTATGGAGTAGAGGCCTCTTCTTGCCTCTAAGAAGGATGAACATTTGCTCTGTCCTTTTCCAGGCTCAGCGGAGCGGAGAAAATGGTGGAGGTTAGCGTCCAGAGGAGGTGAGAGACGAGCACGTTCCCTGGGCGACGGCCCCCCGCCTCCCTTCTTGCTGTTCCAACCACTGCCTAGAGGCGCCGGCCTCTGAGGAACTGCGGACGAGGCCGGACGTTTTCTCCCTGTCGCCCTCCAGCTGCAGGGGCACACACGTTCATGCCCCTCCGGGGACTGTTCGGCTTTCCCATCTCCCCTCCTCTCCTTTCCGTCCACCCTTTGGAAAGGCTCACGGAGCCGCGGGGCTTACCGGTGCCCGCTCAGAGGCGGGCCGGGGCATCTCCCCGCCGTGCCTGTGCCTCCCCCGGACTCCTGGGAGACCCCTACCCGGCCTTCCTTTCCCATTCGGACACGGTGGGGGGACGCTCGGGGTTTGATGAGGGAGAGGGAATGAGGCCAGAACTTTCTTAACTAGGCCACCCCGCTTTGTCCCCTGCGCCAGATACCCAGCCCCATCGCCACGAGCCCTAGCGGCCCTGCGGGACTCTACAGCCTCCGCATCAGACGGAAGGCGCTGGCGTCCAGTACCCAGTCGTCGAAGTGGAGGCCTGGTGCCTTCCCTCTTCTAGCCGAATAGAGAGATAAGGGATGCGGAAGGGAAGGGCCACGAAGGAGAGAACTCAGAAAATATCCAGCCAAATGCACGCCCCAACCTGAGCATCCCGATGCGGGAACCCTGCCCCCTCCGCCACGCGGTCCGCCCCCATCCCAAGTCTTCCGCTGCTCCCTAACTCCCGCACACTCCCGCCTTCCCCAGGCAGCACAGAGGAGCCCATTGTCAGCCCAGAGGCTCGTGGCCCGAGGAGATGGAGGGAAAGGAGGAGGGCGGGCAGGCCCCTGTGGGGTTGGGGAATCCCCTGATTTCCCGGCCCTCCTCACTACGCTAGGCCAGACGGGACCTGAAGGTCTCTTTTGAGCCCCGCGTCCTGCCAAAGTCTAGAAACCGATGGGAGAAGAGGGTCCCGAGCGAGTTAGAGACGGGAGGCTTTCCAGCCGCAGGAAGACCCCAGTTCTGAGCGGGGGAGCCCCAAGGGAATTTCACGCACGCCCCAGCCTTTGGAGCGTCCCTTGCCGAGGCTAAACTGATCGCGCGGGGAGCGAGGCGGTGGCGGGAAAAGAGGAGCATCCTCTGCTCGGCCGGCCTCCGAGGGTCGGAGTCTAGGTTACCCGCTGGAGGGCGGGGCGGAGAAGAAAGAAGGTTGCGGGTGAACGGGGCGGGTAGGCTGGGGACACCCGGGGAGCTGCAGAGAGTCTCGGCGCGGGAGAGGGAGTCCCGGCAAGGGGTCCCGCGCCGAGGCGGGGCGGGCGCTGAAGGGCGGGGCGGGGAGGGGCGGCCGTCTCGGCCCTCCCTGGCGGGGCCCCGCGGCCTGGAAGCCTGAGCGGGCCGAGCCGCCACCGCGGCCGGAGCTGTCCCTTAGCCAGACCCGGCGAGACACGAGCGGCGGGAGGGAGGCGGTGGCGCGCCCGGCCGCGCCCGCTCGCCCGCCCGACCGAGCGTCGGACGCGGCCCGGCGCCGAGCCATGGTGAGTCCAGCGTCGCAGCCCCCAGGCCCCCTCGGCCTTCGCGCAGCCCGCTCCGGACCCCCAGTCCCCAGCCTGGTGCCTCCCGAGCCTGCCTTCGACTGCTCAGCGCTCCTGGGACTCTCCTCCCTCCCATCCCCCCTTCTTCGATTTGTCTGTCCATCTGCCCGACTGTTTAGCTCCGTCCCCACAGGGTATTGCCCTCACCCTTTCTTCCTCATCTCCTCCGCCTCCTCCCCATCCTCCCTTGGGTCTCTCCCCTAATCCGCACACCTCCCCCCTCCCCGCCCTCCTCGGTCCCGACCCTTGCCTTCCTTTCGTGGAGCTTCCCTCCCCCTCCTGGTCCGGTCTCCTGACCCGCGGGAGACCCCTGCGGGTTGGTCCTGCAGTGGCCGTGGAAGAGGCCCGGCCCCTCGGGTCATGAGAACTGACCTGCCTGGAACCACCATTTTCCATCCCGGTCCCCAACCCGGTGAGGCAGGCCCACCCATCCGGCCCTGGAGGACTGGTCACAGCTGTGGCTGGGCCCGGGCCAGGGGCATGGCCAAAGAGGGAAATTCCCGCAAAGAAAAAGGGATGCCTCGGGGTAGTTGGGGGTGCTTTGGGGGAGCTCACAGTACCAGGGGGCGTGACACTGCCAGAGCCGACCGGAGTTTGCAGGGGATGGAAGTGCCCCAGAGCTCTTGCTGCAGGGAACCGAAGGGCTGCCTCAGCGCACTCCTGCTGCAGAGGAGAGGGAGCTCGAGCCAGAGCTCCCTGTAGAAAGTAGGCGACCCTGGCAACTCGGGGCACTGGAAGCAGGAGGGTACCGCTGAGAAGCCCACACGAACAGGAGTGAACACTGTCCTGGGAACTTTCACTCCAGGATAGTCTGAAGCACCACTGCGAGAGTGGGCACTGCCAGGGAGAGCGCCCACTGCAAGGAGAGCGGGGGCATGGCCAAGGGGGCGCTCGCTGCAGAGTGGAGGAGGGGGAGAGGCCTTGCCAGGGGAAGCTCACCGCAGGCAGTGGAGGAGGGGCAGGGGCACTACTGCGGCCGCCCCTCGACGGAGGGAAGGGCACCCTCTGGCAGGGAGGCTGGAGGAAAAAGAAAGAGGAACTGGGCCAGGGACAGCTGACTCAGTCTCTCTGGTCTCCTCTCTGGTCCCCGCCGGCAGGAGGCTGGGTCTCCGTGCTCCCGCCCGCCGCCTCCCTCTCCAGACCCCACCTCCCCTCCTGCCGCTGCCGTTTCCTGTGGCTGAGACTCTCGCTCAGCCATGAGCTCACCGCCCCTAATGGGTTGCAGCTGCCTCGCTGCTCAAGCCCTAGCTCCCCACTCCCGGCCTTGGAGCAGACTGTCCTACTCTGCCTCACCCCCGCCCATCTCCACCTTCTCCCCACCCACGCGCACTGCGTCCGCCTGGTCCCGGGAACACTGGGGGTCTGTCTGCTCGCCCACACACCTTGGGGCGGGGTCTGCGCGCTGACGCACTGAATGTCCCGTCTCTGCAGTGGTTGCCCTAACTTCACAGACAGTCGAGACAAACGGGCAACTCTGGATGGAGGAGCTAAGAGAAAAATAAGCTCTTTTGTCTTACGGCAGAGGCAAGACATGGGGGTAGGGCGGGTAGAGACCGAGGTATAGGCTGCATTGGGTATCCCCTTCCCCATTTACAGCAAACAAGAAAAAAGAAAATCCAGTAAAAGGAAGTTCAAAGACTGTCTTGAAAGAGAAGTTTGCAAAGGAAAAGCCCAAGGAATGATTGTTTAGGTTATGGGATGGAGAAAGACGTCTCATTAACTCAGTTAGGGAGCGGGGTCTAGAGGATGAAGCAGGGCTGAGGCTTTCGAGGCTCCTAGTGGAGGCTGGCAGAGAGAGGTCCCACTGAAATCAGAAAAGAACAGCTCGAAAGCATGCCATCAAGGCCTCCTCCTTCCTTCTCCACACGTTCTCTTTGTGACTTTTTTTCTCTTTCAATTGCCCCCACCCAGTTTTTATAACCCAATCCCACATGCTCTAGGAATGGGTGATTGCTTCAGAGCCACTGTGGGAGAGGGCAGAGGCATGCTAGAAAGACCCAAGACAATCACAGTCTTTCCATCCTCCTCTTCCCACCAAATGACCATCTCTAGCATATAAATGACCATCTCTTTTTCACCAAATGGTTACCTCTAGGACATAATTGTGGGTGATGGCACCTCCACTTAAGATGGGGAGCTCTGCATGGTGGGCCTTATGAGAAGGGGTTTGCAGGATGACTGTGTGGAAATCTCCCTCACACCCTCTAGAGTTCTCAGCCATAAGCTCAGTCCCCTGCTAGCCCAGAAGCCTGTCTCTTCTCTCCTGGGAAAGATCTATGCCATCACCCCAACTCAAAAGCCCCCAGAACAGCCCTGATCAGAGGCATTCACAACAAATTCTCCCCGATCTCCAAAGCCAAGGTCTCAGAGCTTGAGTGTTGAGTGCCCTGCCAGGCTTGTGCACTCTGGCCCAGCCCCACTCCCATTCTGGGCTCGTTAGCCAGCATTTCCTGAGTACCCACTTTTTTGCACACATTGTGCAATGGGGACCTTGGGGAACACAGCCACCCCTAGACCAGTGCAGCTCCCAAGGAGCCATGATTGGGTGATCTCTAGCCTGGTCCTATCTCTACAGGAGCCTGAACCAGTGGAGGACTGTGTGCAGAGCACTCTCGCCGCCCTGTATCCACCCTTTGAGGCAACAGCCCCCACCCTGTTGGGCCAGGTGTTCCAGGTGGTGGAGAGGACTTATCGGGAAGATGCACTGAGGTACACGCTGGACTTCCTGGTACCAGCCAAGCACCTGCTTGCCAAAGTCCAGCAGGAAGCCTGTGTGAGTGGCCGTGTATCACTATTCTGCCTTCCCCAAGATCCACTGCCACACTCTAGAGCAGGCGTCCCCAAACTACGGCCCGCGGGCCACATGCGGCCCCCTGAAGCCATTTATCCGGCCCCCTGCCGCACTTCAGGAAGGGGCACCTCTTTCATTGGTGATCAATGAGAGGAGCACAGCATGTGGTGGCCCTCCAATGGTCTGAGGGACAGTGAACTGGCCCCCTGTGTAAAAAGTTTGGGGACGCCTGCTCTAGAGACTAGCCAGGCTAACTAATGCCCCCACTAACCTGGAGATACAGCCTCCCCTAATACTGATCTCCCCAGTGTCATTTAAGCCTCATTCTCTGACCTCCCACAAAGTTTGACCTTCATAGGCACTGACCATTCAGACGCTAATGCACATACACACACATTCATCATCCCCAAATATTGACCCCTAAAAAACACTAACCCCCAAAGACCCTAACCCTCCAGACCCAATTCCAGACATTTTTTCCCCTTGTGAATTTCTCAAGATACTAACTCCCCCATATATGACTCAACAGAGATCCTTCATTTCTACAGATATAAAGACTCCTAAGAGTCTTTAATTTCTCCAAGACAATGGCATCTGCTGACCATGTCTTGGTAATGATTCAGTTCTTGCCCTCCCACACACGGAACTAGCTTCCTAGAGAAGCTTCCTACCACCAGGAGACCAATCAGTCCCAATCCCTTCCTCTCTGCCACATGAATACCCCAAGATCTCGCCTCCTGCTCTCCTGAGAGTATAACTTTCCAGGCAAATGGTCAGTCCTGCCTCAGGTGGGTCCATTCTAACTGCCCTCTCCTGCTGGTTTCTTCAGCAGAGGCCTGAGTGCAGCCTCCCACCTCTTTCCCCAGGCCCAATATAGTGGATTCCTCTTCTTCCATGAGGGGTGGCCGCTCTGCCTGCATGAACAGGTAGTGGTGCAGCTAGCAGCCCTGCCCTGGCAGCTGCTGCGTCCAGGAGACTTCTATCTGCAAGTGGTACCCTCAGCTGCCCAAGCACCACGACTAGCACTCAAGTGTCTGGCCCCTGGGGGTGGGAGGGTGCAGGAGATTCCTGTGCCCAGTGAGGCCTGTGCCTACCTATTCACACCTGAGTGGCTACAAGGCATCAACAAGGACCGGCCAACGGGTCGCCTCAGTACCTGCCTACTGTCTGCACCCTCTGGGATTCAACGGCTGCCCTGGGCTGAGCTCATCTGCCCACGATTTGTGCACAAAGAGGGCCTCATGGTTGGACATCAGCCAAGTACACTGCCCCCAGAACTGCCCTCTGGACCTCCAGGGCTTCCCAGCCCTCCACTTCCTGAGGAGGCGCTGGGCACCCGGAGCCCTGGGGATGGGCACAATGCCCCTGTGGAAGGACCTGAGGGTGAGTATGTGGAGCTGTTGGAGGTGACTCTGCCCGTGAGGGGGAGCCCAACAGATGCTGAAGGCTCCCCGGGCCTCTCCAGAGTCCGGACGGTACCCACTCGCAAGGGTGCTGGAGGGAAAGGCCGCCACCGGAGACACCGGGCGTGGATGCACCAGAAGGGCCTGGGACCTCGGGACCAGGAGGGAGCACGCCCACCCGGCGAGGGGAGCAGCACCGGAGCCTCCCCTGGGTCTCCCCAAGGAGCTGAGGCTGTCCCAGAGGCGGTAGTCTTGCAGGTGTCTGAGGCCCCAGCAGAGGCCTTGGGAGAAGCTTCTAAATCTTGCCCCCTGAGGCCAGGGGAACTTGGAGGAGGAGGAGGAGGAGGAGGAGGAGGAGGAGGAGGAGGAGGAGGAGGAGGAGGAGGAGGAGGAGAAGGAAGCCAAGGGGCTGAAGGACCACCTGGTACCCCTCGGAGAACAGGCAAAGGAAACAGAAGAAAGAAGCGAGCTGCAGGCAGAGGGGCTCTAAGCCGAGGAGGGGACAGTGTCCCACTGAGCTCTGGAGACAAGGAAGAGGCCAGCCACCAAGAAGCCCTTGGCAATGTACCCTCACCAAGTGAGCACAAGCTTCCAGAATGCATCCTGGTTAAGGAGGAATATGAAGGTGCAGGGAAGCCAGAATCTGAGCCAAAAGAGGAGCTCAAGCCAGCAGATAAAAAAGAGCCTCAGCCCCCAGAAGCCTGTGGGCCAACAGAAGAGGAGGCCAAAGAGAGAGAGCAGCAGGGGCCAGGTCTGCTGCGTATGGCAGGTGAGATGACACTGAGTCCCATGGGGCAAAGGCCAAAGCAGGTCAGGCCTAGGGGAGGGAGCGGGAGCGGGAGCAGGGTTAGGCTGGGAGCAGAACAACCAGAACCATCTTAACTTCAGTCCCATTTTTCTGAGTCTGTGCAGGGCACACAGGCCCCGAAGGCCTCCTGTCTGACCCTCCATCACCTCCGTTGGAGACTGTGCAGGGAGGAAAAGGGGACAGCATTCTGGAAGAGGGCCTTCCGGTCTCCATCTCTGATGACGCTGATGTAGCTTGGGACTTGATGGCATCTGGATTCCTCGTCCTGACCGGTCAGTGGGCATCAGTGGGTGAAGGGAAAAAGGATTGGGGAAAGAGAAGCAATTGGGTGGGCTTGGGGGCTGGGGGAGGCAGGGTGGAAGGGCGGTAGGCATGGACTACTCCCAGCCAGGACAGCCTGGCCATTTTGTGTCTTCAGGAGGGGTGGACCAGAGTGGGCGAGCTCTGCTGACCATTACCCCACGGTGCCCTCCTGAGGAGCCCCCACCCTCCCGAGACACGCTGAGCACTACTCTTCATTACCTCCACTCACTGCTCAGGTAACCGAGACCCAGACTTAGCACCCTGGACACTAACCTCCTGATTCATGAGGACCCTCACCTCCTTTTCAGGACCTGACCTTCTGACTGCTAAGGACACCTGCTTCTTCAGCCTTCAGATTTCAAGTCATTGCCCTCTGGCCTTACTGATCTCAGCCTCCAGCTTCATATCTTCATTGATCCTCAAAAGCAACACTGTTGACTTTCACTCTCCTCCACTACTACCTAGATCATCAGGACATTGGTTCACTTATTCAACAAATATTTATTGAGCACTGAGTTCCTGTTAGGCACCATACTACAGGCTGACATTGAATTCATACCATTCCAGAACAGAATTCCTAACTTTCCAGACCTTAATCCCTTGACCTAGTAGCCATATGAATATAGACTCCTGACTGCTAGGTCACTTCTTCTTGTACACACATCCCAGAATTTGGCCCTTTGCCCATTTCTTCCCAAATGTACCAGCTACTAATTTCTCCTGAGGACTATTAACTGAAAACAGACCCTGTATATCTGCCTTGCCTTATCTGCTATTCCCCAAAATACACACACAGCAGCCTTCTTGGCTCTTCCTGCCCCCACAGGCCTGATCTACAGCTACTGGGGCTGTCCATCCTGCTGGACCTTCGCCAGGCACCTCCACTGCCTCCAGCACTCCTTCCTGTCTTGAGCCAACTTCAGGTAACCACACCTTGAATAGGCAGTTCCCCTAGATCCTAACTCTTCACTGGTGGCCAGTCCAGGACACCCAATTGCCCAGTTTAGGGTTTTTCTTCTCTGCCCTTAGGACTCAGGAGATCCTCCCCTCATTCAGCGACTGCTGATTCTCACTCATGATGACCCTCCAACTGAACTCTGTGGATTTCAGGTTTGAGCCCTTCATTCCCACCTAGTTTCCCATCAGTAGTGGAGAGAGGAGAAAAGGCTGGCTGGAGCCCCAGGCTGGTTTCTGAGTCCTTGGGTGCCCAGGAAGAAATCCCCTGCCTTACCCTCTACAGGGTGCTGAGGTGCTGTCAGAGAACGATCTGAAAAGAGTGGCCAAGCCAGAGGAGCTGCAGTGGGAATTAGGAGGTCACAGGGACCCCTCTCCCAGTCACTGGGTAGAGGTACACCAGGTAAGCTTCCCCTCTACCACGTAGCATGCTGGGAGCTGTGAATGACCCAGCCGAAGACATTCTAGGAAAGAGGCCAGATCAAGGACATACCATGGGGTTGCAAAAAAGTGGTTTCCATTCCATCCCATTCAACAAGTATTTATGGATTCCAAATCATGAGGAAAACATGTGCACTGTGCCATGGTCTACTGGGGAGATGGGAGGAGTATGTTAAACAAATTATTATTATTATTATTTGTAGATAGTCTCACTCTGTTGCCCAGGCTGGAGTGCAAGCTCAAGCGATCCTCCCACATCAACCTCCTGAGTAGCTGGGGCTACAGGCACATGCCACCACACCCAGCTAATTTTTGTATTTTTGGAAGAGACAGGGTTTTGCCATGTTGCCCAGGCTAATCTCAAACACCTGGACTCAAGTGATCTGCCCGCCTCAGCCTCTCAAAGTGCTAAGATTACAGGCGTGAGCTACCGTACCCAGCCAAATATGTTCTTAATATGACATTAAGTAGCCCTTTGCTTTGGTGGGAGATAAATCATGAAACAAGTAAAGAAGAGTGCAAGATAGTGTCATCGGGTTTCTGGAAAGCACTGAGAGTCAAAAGGCTGGTTCTTGTTCCAAATTACTTTACCTCACTTGTAGAAATAGTGCTCTTTCTGTACCTGCTCCTTGTACCAACATCCAGCCCTCAGGATCCTTATCAGCCAAGTGTAGCAATTACAGTAAAACTGCTAAAGGTCCTTCCAGCACTTACGTGATTCTATGTCTATAAGTGCTGTGCATATTCAAGAAGAGAGGAATAAACATGATCTGAGTTGAATACAAAAGAGGGGTCTGTAGATGGTCTCTAAGCTTCCCCATTAGTGTCAAAGGGGAAGTAGACATGAATAGGCAGAGAGAGGGGGTTTGACAGGGTGAAGCCCCACTGAAGACAGAGGGAAAGGAAGGTCACAGTTACCAAGCTGTACAATGTGCCAGGGTCATGCTAGTTGCTGAGCTGGCATCATCTCCTTAAAAATCACAGAAGCCTGGCTTATCCTGACTTTACAGTTGAGGAACTGAAGTTCAGGAAAGTTTCTGGACCTGTCCAACATCATACATCATCGTAAGCAACAAAGTCAAGAACTGAATTCAGCATTGCCTCCATAAAAGTCTCTGGGGCTACCTCACCCCAACCCTAGGGCTTAGGTTCCTTCTTAAACTCTGATCCTCAACTCCATCCCTGCATGTGGATTTCAGGAAGTGGTAAGGCTATGCCACCTGTGCCAAGGTGTGCTGGGCTCGGTACGGCAGGCCATTGAGGAGCTGGAGGGAGCAGCAGAGCCAGAGGGAGAGGTATGAAATGAAATGGGACAGCGGGGGATGGGATTGGGATGGGGCGGGGGTGGAGGTGCTCTGGTGGAACCCCAACTGGCAACTGCTCCCTATCCCCAGGAGACAGTGGGAATGCCCAAGCCCCTGCAGAAGGTGCTGGCAGATCCCCGGCTGACGGCACTGCAGAGGGATGGGGGTGCCATCCTGATGAGGCTGCGCTCCACTCACAGCAGCAAGTATGAGGGATGGGTGTGTGGAGGCAGGTTGAAGTGGGAGGTGGAGACACAGCCAACGGCTGCCAACAAACCTTAGCTGCCAGACCATTCTTACTGTGCTTGTATCTGGGCAAGATACCATGCTTTTACACTTGCTATCTCATAACTCTCACAACATCCTTCTGTGCCATTTACCATTACAAATGAGGATTTGGAGGATCAGAAGTGTTAACTGTCTTGGCCAACATCAGTCAGTAAAGAGTCAGCATTCAAACCAAAGCAGTGGGGTCCAGCCTGTGCTTTTGATCCATGCTGCTATGCAACCTCTCATGTTTGCATCCCTCAGAGGGTTGGGAGGACAGAATGGAGGGGCTCAACAAGGGCAGTGATTCGTTCTTCTCTGCTCCTTCCCCAGGCTGGAGGGCCAAGGCCCAGCCATGCTGTATCAGGAAGTGGACGAGGCCATTCACCAGCTCGTACGCCTCTCCAACCTGCAAGTGCAGCAGCAAGAGCAGCGGCAGTGCCTGCGGCGACTCCAGCAGGTGAGCCAGAACCCCCACGTCCCTCTTACTCAGCGTGGGAGCGTGGCCCCCAGCACCTTTCCTGCTGGCGTTTATAGCTGATGATGTTCTCTTGTCCTGGCTTGGTTGAATGCCTCTCCCTCTCTCCTCACCTCTGTTGGAGCTTGGTCATGGAAAGTGTGAGATTCAGCAAGAGGATGGGAGTATCATAGCACCAGTAAAGAAAAGAAGCCAGAGCTCCCCGTCCCCTCTGTACATCATGCTTGACGAAGATGCTGAGAGATTGTGAGAGATGCTCAGGTGCCATAGGGGATTCTGAAAAGAGCAAGTTGACTCTGGAGTGCCTACCTCCTTGGCTGAAAAATAATAAATATCTATTGATACCAGGTCATTAGCTACACTGCCACACAGGCACCCTTAACTCCTTATGCAATATCATCCCTCAGACCTGAGGCCAGAAAGGTCCCACCTCCCTCCACCTTGGAAGGAGAAAGCAAATATGGGCCTCTTTGTGGGGAAGATTCAGGAATAAAGCTGACTTCTTTGAACCTTGATTCTTCTCTCCTGAGGTTAAGAGCCTCGTACAGATTTGCTCTCACCCTACCATGTGGGGTAGAGGGGGCTTTGAAATCTGATTGTTCCTCCTTAGCCCTGAGCATGGTGAGTGAACACTACATGGACTTGCATGTGGTCATCAGGGGAAAGGTCATCTCAGGGCCAGTGCTAGAGCGGGGGCCAAGACTTTCTGTTTCGTAGGATTCCTTCATATTGGCTTCCTCTAAGCCGATGTCCTAGAGGTGGGTTGCATCTCCTCCCATTTGCTTACTTGCTTATTAGCTGTTTCCCCAACTGTTTAAAAATGAGATTTGGAGTCTGAAGTGCTCAGCTTGAGTTCTAGTTCTGCCCTATGTAAGACATTGGACAAGTCATGAAGCTTCTCTCAGTTCCCAAGTCCTCATCTGTAGAATGGGGATGATAACAATTTGCTGACAAGGTGGTTAGAAAGATCAAATGAGTTTAGCAAAGGACTATAAAAGTGGTTGTTATTATTGGCACTGATTATTACAAACAGTCTCATCCTCAGACTGTCCCACCCCTAGCTTCCAGCCTTTCTTCAGAGGAAAACATTACCATCCCTTTTTGGTCAAACATCTCAGAACCAGCATGAGAGTTCTTATGGCCCATAATAGGCAACTAAAGCCAGACACACACACACACACACACACACACACACACACCACTTCTGTGCTCTTCCTGCAGGCCTGGTCCCTGGGATCCTTGCCCACTAGTTGCCAAGGCTTGGTGAAGGGCCTCAGTCATCCATAGGACCCTCATCCTCCCTTTGGTTCACCCCAGTTTGATGTACTTCACCTTCAGGCATAGCCCTGAAACTTTGACTCACCTCCCTCAGTACTTCCCATCAGCCCAGCTTCCCTCTCATCTGGCACGTTACTAAAGATTTCTTTTTTTTTTTTTTTTTGAGACGGAGTTTCGCTCTTGTTACCCAGGCTGGAGTGCAATGGTGCGATCTCGGCTCACCGCAACCTCCGCCTCCTGAGTTCAGGCAATTCTCCTGCCTCAGCCTCCTGAGTAGCTGAGATTACAGGCACGCGCCACCATGCCCAGCTAATTTTTGTATTTTTAGTAGAGACGGGGTTTCACCGTGTTGACCAGGATGGTCTCAATCTCTTGACCTCGTGATCCACCTGCCTCGGCCTCCCAAAGTGCTGGGATTACAGGCTTGAGCCACCGCGCCCGGCCACTAAAGATTTCTTATTCGGTTTCTCACTTGACCCTTGTGGAAGCTATTACTGTTCACTGTTGTTACTCACATGTTGCAGATGAGATGCAATAGTTTGCTCAAGGTTCTACAGATTGGGGTGGTGGGGCCGACTCTGGATCTCAGCCCTTCCTTGCCTTCCCACTCCATGGCCCCATGCCCCACCACCCCATCTGCCTCAGGTATTGCAGTGGCTCTCAGGCCCAGGAGAGGAGCAGCTGGCGAGCTTTACTGTGCCCGGGGATACCCTGTCTGCCTTGCAGGAGACAGAGCTTCGATTCCGGGCCTTCAGCACTGAGGTCCAGGTGAGAAAGGGCAGGAGGGCAGGTGAGAGGAAGCAGGCTGAGACTACCTGGGAGTGAGGACGAGGTATGAGCACAGCCTCCCTTCTCCAGGAGCGCCTGGCCCAGGCACGGGAGGCCCTGGCTCTGGAGGAGAATGCCACCTCCCAGAAGGTGCTGGATATCTTTGAACAGAGGCTGGAGCAGGTTGAGAGTGGCCTCCACCGGGCCCTGCGGCTACAGCGCTTCTTCCAGCAGGTGCATGCAGTCTTTTCCTTCTGTGCCCACCATTTCCATTTATTTATTTCCCCTCTGCCTGGAGAGGCAAATCAAGCTGTGAAAAGCAGAGGCTGAGGAGCCCATCTCCTTGGTTTTGACTCTTAGCTCTGCCACCTCCTTGCTGAATGACTGGGACAAGATACTAACCCTGACTGTGCCGTCGTAGATCTGGCCCACGGGGCTGCTGTGGAGATTACATGAGGCAGTATATAAAAGCACTTAGCACAGAGCCTGCCACTCATATACTTTGTATAAGTACTAGCTATTCTTTTATATAGGCTCCTCCATCTCCATACCAACTCCGAGTGACATAGTTAGGCAGTGATGCTGGGACAGTGAGAAAACGGGGAGGGTGATGGGCACTGGGAAGCCACAGGCAAGAGGACACGGGCTCTTCTTGGGCATCCTTTGGGAGCAGCAAAGGGCCTTACTCTTTCTCTCCCATCCCCAACCCCTTTGACTTTGTAGGCACACGAATGGGTGGATGAGGGTTTTGCTCGGCTGGCAGGAGCTGGGCCGGGTCGGGAGGCTGTGCTGGCTGCACTGGCCCTGCGGCGGGCCCCAGAGCCCAGTGCCGGCACCTTCCAGGAGATGCGGGCCCTGGCCCTGGACCTGGGCAGCCCAGCAGCCCTTCGAGAATGGGGCCGCTGCCGGGCACGCTGCCAAGAGCTGGAGAGGAGGATTCAGCAACACCTGGGAGAGGAGGCGAGCCCACAGGGGTACCGGCGACGGCGAGCAGACAGTGCCAGCAGCGGAGGGGCCCAGTGGGGCCCCCACAGCCCCTCACCCAGCCTCAGCTCCTTGCTGCTCCCCAGCAGTCCTGGGCCACGGGCAGCCCCATCCCATTGCTCCCTGGCCCCATGTGGAGAAGACTATGAGGAGGAGGGCCCTGAGCTGGCTCCAGAAGCAGAGGGCAGGCCCCCACGGGCTGTGCTGATCCGAGGCCTGGAGGTCACCAGCACTGAGGTGGTAGACAGGACATGCTCACCTCGGGAACATGTGCTGTTGGGCCGGGCCGGGGGGCCAGACGGACCCTGGGGAGTAGGCACCCCCCGGATGGAGCGCAAGCGAAGCATCAGGTGAGACCCCAGCCCAACTGGTGCCCAAGAGGCAGACCCAACTGCCCAGTAGAAACAGAAGATGACATTGTTGAGGGTAGCGACCCCTCCCATGCCCCAGATGACACATTCTCTGCCACTCCTCTTGTGCCTGCAGTGCCCAGCAGCGTCTGGTGTCTGAGCTGATTGCCTGTGAACAAGATTACGTGGCCATCTTAAGTGAGCCAGTACCACCCCCTGGGCCTGAGCTGACTCCTGAACTTCGAGGCACCTGGGCTGCCACCCTGAGTGCCCGGGAAAGGCTTCGCAGCTTCCACCGGACACACTTTCTGCGGGAGCTTCAGGGCTGCGCCACCCACCCCCTGCGCATCGGGGCCTGCTTCCTTCGCCATGTGAGTGATCTACTCAACTTCTTCCAAGTGCTCTGCCTTCTCTGCTCCAGCCTCATCCATCTGTCCCTCCTTCTCAATACCCACTGTCCTCATGACTCTGGGGTCCAGCCCTGTTCTGTGGGCACCTCTGCTTCTACCAGCCTCTGTGTCCCTCCTCTCAAGGGCTGCTGGGACTATACTCTCTCCACAGGGAGCCCTTCACTCCCTGGCAGGCTGAGTACTCCCTGGTGACTCATCCCTCCTTTGGGATACAGAGAGGATGGAGAAGGGGAAGGGAGAGCTTTGTCTGCCAGGGACACATTGTCTGTTCTTTACTGGCACAGGGGGACCAGTTCAGCCTTTACGCCCAGTACGTGAAGCACCGGCACAAACTGGAGAATGGTCTGGCTGCGCTCAGCCCCTCCACCAAGGTAACCCTTTCTCCAGCCTTCGGAAGGAAAGAAGAGGGCCAGGAAGACCTAAAAACCCAATCACCTACCAATCATCTCCTAGAATTACCAAGGGCAGAGCAAGCAGTGGACTGGTGAGGCTGGGTTCCTATCCCGCCCACCTGAGGGACTAGGCAGGACTCCTGATTCCTCTGGGTCTCTATTTCCACATCTGGTAAATGAGGGCATTAGTCCCTATAGTCAGCTCACAGGGAGGCTCTGAGGATCAGAAAAGCTCACATCAAAAGATGTACAAGTGACTTTAAAAGTTCAAAGCTAGAGAGTACAGGGGATTACCATTTTAATTCTTCTTCCATTTCCCTTCAAGATATAGATGATGATTGCTGGCCTGCAGGCCTCCACCTGCTTTCTTTCCAGGGAGAAGGGTTTTTGCCTTACTTTAGGGAGCATCTGGGCTTCATATATACCCAAAAGCCCAGCGTATCACCCATCCACCCCCCAACCCCTGAGCTTGGCCTCCAGAGTCTCCAGCCCTCCCCTCATACCTGTCTGTGTCCTCAACCTAGGGCTCCATGGAGGCTGGCCCTTACCTGCCCCGAGCCCTGCAGCAGCCCCTGGAACAGCTGGCTCGGTATGGGCGGCTCCTGGAGGAGCTCCTGAGAGAAGCTGGGCCTGAGCTGAGCTCTGAGCGCCAGGCCCTTGGGGCTGCTGTGCAGCTGCTCCGGGAACAAGAGGCCCGTGGCAGAGACCTGCTGGCTGTGGAGGCGGTGCGTGGCTGTGAGGTGAGGCCCTGGCTCCAGTCACTCCCGCTCAAACTGCCCAGCCTTGGCTTCAGAAGCCGTGTAGGTTGGTGACAGGAGAACCAGGCTCCAGGTCAGAGGGCCCAGGCTCTAATTTCTAACCAGCTGGGTGGCCTTGATTGAGTCACTGAACTTCACTGGGCCTCGTTTTTCTCATTCATAAATAAAGAAGCTGTGTCCTCCCAACACCCCATGTTCCTACATCCACCTTGTACTCTCCCATTCTTTCCTAATTGTCATCTTTCCCCATCTACCCTATACTTTCTCCTGCATCTCAGCATCCAACACATACCTTATTCTCCTCTACCTAGTCTTTTTCCAGCCCTGAGGTTCCAGAGTATGTTGGAATCCTGTATACTCCTCTGGAATAGCCCTATTTCCCTTTCAATTCTTTGCTGATTCTCTTCCTGGATCCCCAGCTTGCAAAGGCTTCCCCACAGGAGGTTGTAAACCCTGCTGTGCAATGCACCTTCCCATCTTCAGAGACAGGGCTGTGCTGCTCGGCCAGGTGTGCTGTGCATGGCAACCAGTGGATGGACTCTAGGCTGAGGGCTTCCCTGACTTCCTGACTCTGCCTGCGAACCAGTGCATTAGGCCTCTTGCCCTATAAATCTATTTTTTCTCTCTGTAAAATACAAACAAAGGACCCCTGGGCCAACCACTTCTCCTTTTCCTTTCTCCAGATAGATCTGAAGGAGCAGGGACAGCTCTTGCATCGAGACCCCTTCACTATCATCTGTGGCCGAAAGAAGTGCCTTCGCCATGTCTTTCTCTTTGAGCATCTCCTCCTGTTCAGCAAGCTCAAGGGCCCTGAAGGGGGGTCAGAGATGTTTGTTTACAAGCAGGCCTTTAAGGTACAATTCCTGGAGTGGGTGGTGGAGGTGACAGGAAGTCATTCTCTTCTTGAGAACTCAGGATGTTCTGGAAATTCAGCCCCAACACAGGTTTAGAATCTGCATCATCTGGAATAGGCTTTGGCTTGTAACTGACCATCGAGTTAGGGTGTCAGGGGATGTTAGAAGTCCCTGTCATTGGTCTACCTCATGAGGTTTTCCTTATCATTCATGAAGGAGACTTAGGAGACATTCCAAACCAGACTGGAAGAGGAACTTTCCCACTAAGGACACACATGCTTTTGGAATTAGGGATGGTTGCTAGGGCATGAGGAGAAAGCACACTATACTTTGACTAAAGAATCCAAGAAGAGGGAAGCCTTGCTTTAGGGAAACAGCCTTGATATCCAGATAAACATTTATAGCAACGTGTGGTCCTGGATCAGGCAGCGTGGTATGGATTCTAAGGGTTTCTGGACTTTGTACCCTTCGCACTAGTTCCAGCTCTTCAGCGGGGAGTATCGCGTAGAAGAAAAGGCCTGGCTTTGGAATAACATAGAGGCTGGGTCCCATTCCAGCTTGAATAAGCTGTGAGAAGGCTTTGTGCAAGTTGCTTCGTGTTGCTGGGTCTCATTTCCCCTTCTGTAAATTACGGTTGTTACAAAGACTAAATGTAGAGCCCTCAGCACATGATAGGGGTTGAGCAAACGTTTACTCCACATCTATCAAATACCAGGCAAAGCCCAGTGCTTGCCTTGTGGGGCCACCCAACCAGGACTCGCTCTGTCTTCACCCGCTGCCCTCTGCTCATCCTCAGACTGCTGACATGGGGCTGACAGAAAACATCGGGGACAGTGGGCTCTGCTTTGAGCTGTGGTTTCGGCGGCGGCGTGCACGAGAGGCATACACTCTGCAGGCAACCTCACCAGAGATCAAACTCAAGTGGACAAGTTCGATTGCCCAGCTGCTGTGGAGACAGGCAGCCCACAACAAGGGTACTGGAGAGCTGAGGGAGAGGGTGCTTGGAGTCAGGGTTATAGCGGGAAGTTTTCTGGAGCGTGTGCAGACTGCTTGGGAAAACAATGAATAGGGTGAAGAAAGAATGGTTTATAATAAGATTCAAGATCTGGCTTGAGAGAGGTTACTGAGGCAGAAATGAGCCTAAGACATACCAAAAAGAAAGAGAAAGCTGGCAAATTTCAGGGAAGCAAGAGCAAGTAGGAGCTGGGTGCAGCAATGGCTTACGCCTGTAATCCCACGGCATTTTGGGAGGCCAAGGTGGGAGGATTGCTTGAGGCCAGGAGTTCAAGAACAACCTGTGCACATAGTGAGACCCCATTTCTACAAAAAATTTTAAAATGAACTGGGCATGGTGGTGTGTGCCTATTCTCCTAGCTATTTGAGGAGTGAGGTAGGAGGATCACTTGAGTCCAAACTGTTCAAGGCTACAGTGAGCTATGATGGTGCCACTGCACTTGAGCCTGGATGAAACAGCGGACTCTGCTTCGAGTTGTGGTTTTGGCGGCAGTGTGCACAAGAGGCATGGCCTGGGTGACAAAGCAAGACCCTGTCATTTTTTTTTTTTTTTTTTTTTTTTTTTTTTTTTGCTGGGAGTGGTGGCTCATGCCTGTAATCCCAGCTCTTTGGGAGGCCGAGATAGGCGGATCACCTGAGGTTGTGAGTTCAAGACCAGCCTGACCAACATGGAGAAACCCCATCTCTATTAAAAATAAAAAATTAGCCTGGCATAGTGGCGGGCCCCTATAATCCCAGCTACTCCAGAGGCTGAGGCAGGAGAATCGCTTGAACCTGGGAGGCGAAGGTTGCAGTGAGCCGAGATCTCGCCATTGCACTCCAGCCTGGGTGACAGAAAATAATGATGATAATATAAAAATAATATTAATAATAATAATAAAGCAAATGGCTTAGAAAAGAAGGTGAGAAACTGCTCACTTGGATTTAAGAACTGCTGCTACTTGCTGTGTGACCTGGACTAGTTTTTTGTTTGTTAGTTTTGTTTTCATTTTTTGTTTTTGTTTTTTTGCTGGGTTTCACCTTGGTTTTAATTTTCTGACCTTCATTCCACTCATCTGAAAAGGAAATAGTGTAATAGGAATGATTAAGTGAGGTGAGCTATATGGAAGCACCCTGTAAACTGTAAAGGATGTAAAAATGTTTTTGTTTGCTCTTAACACCCAAGATGCAGAGTAGAAATCAGGCGGCTAGATGCCGAATGGGCAAGATGCAACATACTTGGGAGAAGAGCCGGATATCTGAGGTGGAAGTCATACCATCATCGCCATCCATGTTGTGATAGTCAACAGAAGGAGTAACAAGAGACTCCAGAGGAATGAGAGGGAGGAATGAGGGTTAGGAAGGAGAAAAGAAAAGAGTCAACCGTGACATGCTAGAGCTAGAGGGCGGGCCAGGAAGAAGTTGGTAACAAGTGTCCCTGTTCCCCAGAGCTCCGAGTGCAGCAGATGGTCTCCATGGGCATTGGGAATAAACCCTTCCTGGACATCAAAGCCCTTGGGGAGCGGACGCTGAGTGCCCTGCTCACTGGAAGAGGTGAGGGCCAGGGTGCTGGGGGGTGGCCCCCAGGAGTGAAGACCTTGACAATGAGGATACAAAGGGGAGATGTGGTGGAAAGTCAGGAAGGGCATCTCGTCCCCAAATCGGTGGGACTGACTGGGAGGCCCTCTGTGAGACTGAGGGTCATTCCAGGGAGCCAAGAGGGCTTTCCCACACCAGCACCCCACCCCAACTCCCCACTCTCTACAGCCGCCCGCACTCGGGCCTCCGTGGCCGTGTCATCCTTTGAGCATGCCGGCCCCTCCCTTCCCGGCCTTTCGCCGGGAGCCTGCTCCCTGCCTGCCCGCGTCGAGGAGGAGGCCTGGGATCTGGACGTCAAGCAAATTTCCCTGGGTGAGGCACCTCTCAAGGGGTGGCTCCCAACAGCTCGGTCATGGTGGTGATGTTCAGGCTGCTTGCTGCTGAGCAATTCCTTTCTCTAGCCAAGTAGCCCAGTTGCCATGACAACTATGTACAGCTTCCCCACTGCTAAAAAAGCCTTCTGGTTGCTAGGGTGATGCTTACAACAGCCTGTTGCTAAGAAGCACTTCCTCTGTACCTCTCTCTCTAGCTCTCCTTGGGTTTCTATGGAAACTGCCTCAGCTTCCTGTTGTACCCTCCTGGTTCACCACGGCAATCCTTATAGTTTCCTGTTGCTTCTTCCCTGGTTGCTCTAATGATGCTGCTGACAATTTCCTGCCTCTTGGTAGGGGGTTCCCTTGCAACTGGATCGCTATGGTGACTCACAGCTTCCTGTTGCTATGGAGCTTTTTCTTCCCTGATGGAGCAGCTTGATTGCTTAAGGTAATCTGGAGGGATTCTATACTCTGCTCTCACCCTAGCTTCCCCTCCAGCCCCAGAAACACTTGACTCTTCTGGAGATGTGTCCCCAGGACCAAGAAACAGCCCCAGCCTGCAACCCCCCCACCCTGGGAGCAGCACTCCCACCCTGGCCAGTGGAGGGATCTTAGGGCTATCCCGGCAGGTAAGTTCCTACGGTGAGGCTGGGAATGGGGTGATATCTTTGGTGGCTTTCTGGGTGGGCTTTTCTGATCATTCAATCCTGGGGTGGGGAGGACAGGGGGAACTGAACTTGTGCTCCCAGCTGAGGCTACAGACTAGATTTGTTATCTTCTACCTTTCTCCTCTTCCTGGGACCTGGCTAAGAGGCATCAAGGTCATAGGTAGTGTAGTGCTGGAGTGGATGGAAAGGGGAGAATGCCAATGGCCTGGCTTGGACTTGGGTTAAAACAGCAAAACTCATGCCAGGTGAGGTGGCTCATACCTGTAATCTCAGACTTTCAGAGGTTGAGGCAGAAGGATCACTTGAGCCTAGGTGTTCAAGACAAGCCTGGGCAATGTAGTGAGATCCCATCTCTAAAAAATTATAATAATTTTTAAAATTAGCTGGACTTTTGAGGGGTGCACACCTATAGTCCCAGCTACTTGGTAGGCTGAAGCAGGAAGATCTCTTGAGCCCAGGAAGCTGAGACTTCAGTGAGCTATGTTTGTGCCACTGGACTCCAGTGTGGGTGACAGCAATCCCCTGTCTCTGAAAAAAAAAAAAAAAAGTAAATAGCAAAATTCAAGGACTCTGGGGAGGAAAGAGAGGTGAATTGACAGGCTTGTGGGGAGGGATGGAGGGAGGAAAAAAGAGAGACAGGAAATATGTCCCTAAAGTAACTGTAGTTTCTCTCCCCCCAGAGTCATGCTCGAGCCCTGAGTGACCCCACCACACCTCTGTGACCTGGGTGAGTCAGCATCCCTAATTTCCACCACAGCCAACACTCCTTCCCTCTTGTACCTTTCTTCCTCTCCCCGGCTACATGGGAGTCAGCTTCTTCCCTCTCCCAACTCATCTCCCTCTTCTCTCCTGGCTTCTAGAGAATATCCAGAACTTGCCTGCAGCTTCTCCTCTCAACATACTTTGGGCTGGGATGGCAGTGGGGCATAATGGAGCACTGGGCGATCACTGAATTTCTTCCCTCTGCTTCTCGGACACAGAGGAGGTCTAAGGACCAGAGCATTGCCCTGCCACCACTCTCTCTAGTCTCCCTAGCTTGGTGCCTTCTCCTGCAGGAGCCAGAGCAACCACATTGCTTGCCTTCATACCCTGGAGGTGGGGAAGTTACCCCTCTTCTGGTGCTTTCCCATCCTGGGCCACTGAATCCAGGACATCACTCCCATGCCAGCCCTCCCTGGCAGCCTGTGTTCTCCTCTTTTCTCACCCCCTGACTCTCCCTGAGAAGAATCATCTCTGCCAGGTCAACTTGAGTTCCTGGTGACTCCATTCTGAGATGCCACAGGAAATGGAGCTATGCAAACAGTAACAGGAGGGTGTGACAGAGGAACTGTAGACTTTATATATGTAATTACTATTATAATACTATTGTTATATTAAATGTATTTACACATACTTTGCCTCCAAGGAGCTAGAGTAGTCCTCTGGATTAAGGTGATAAATAACTTGAGCACTTTCCCTCATCCAGCCCTTAACTAGAACACAGAAAATAAAACCAAGAAGGGAAGGCCCCCTCTACCCTTCCCAGGCCCAGAGCTGACTGTGCATGAGCCTAGGAGAATGTGCCTCCTCCACAGTGGCTCCCAGAGGCTCCAGACACTCTCTGAAGCTCCTTCTCCCACATTACACCTACTCCTTGAGGCTGAACTGGTTGTAGACAAACTGGGATCCAGTTCAGTCCAGCAGTTCTCAAAATGAGGTCCTCGGGCCACAGCGGATGAGAACCTGCTTGGCTACTTGTTGAATGCTAATTCTTGAACCCCACCAGAGCTGCTGCATCGAAACCTGGGGGTAAACCCAATATTCTGCATTTCTTATCAAACTCTTTGGGTGATAACTAAGTGTCTGAAGAGATTACTGTTTCCTGAGCATAGGGCCCAAGGAGGGGAGCGGGACATGGGCAGCCAGACAGACACAGGGCCCTGTGCCTCAAGACACCTGTTTATTGGGGACACGACTCTGCGACAGGGATGACAGGAATCGTACCAAAAATAGCAACGTCTACAGGGCCCCTGATGGGGCTAGAAGGGTACAGTGCCCCCCACCCTCACCCCTTGTACAAAAATAAACTCTCACGCCTATGGACCAGCAAAGACTGGCAGAGTGGCTCCTCAACAGGGACACAAACCCTCTCTGCCAGCCCTGGGACTCCGTTCTTTGACCCTCACCTCTGCCACTTCTAAGGCACTGTGACTCCCTTGGGCTGGGTGGGTACCACCAGCCCACCCTCCTACGCCCACCGCCCCCTCCACCTCTGGTCCGCCTGGGGCTGGGATATGGGTCCCACGCTGCCCCCTGCTGGCGTCTCTACCCAACTACCTCTAGCGCTCCCCCGCTCCGGCGGGGTAAGCTCACTAAGCTAATCGCCCCTGAGGGCTCACTACCGTTCTTGCCCCCCCAGCCCTGCCTCTCCCGGTCTGGACAGCCCGGAACCCTCCTCCCCTTCCTGCGAAGGACTGGGAGGGGTCTCTCCTGATGGTATGCGGACATAGGGTGGGGACGCGTCAGCCTGGGGTGGCCGGCGGCCCCTAGCCCGGCGACTGTGGTGCACTTGAAGGTGCAAGGCCATGAGCTCCGGGGCTCCAGTGGCGAAAGGGCAGAAGAGGCAGCGGTGGAGGGCACCCCCCGGCCCGGCCTCGCCTCCCGGCCCTGCCCGCAGGGACAGGTCCAGGGGTTCGGCCTCACCGCCTCGCCCGTTGCGCAGGGTCCTCCCAGGGCTGGCGGGCTTCCGACGGGACCCCGGCCCAGCACCGCTAGAAGGAGGCCGTGGGCTTGAGGCGCCCTCCACCCAGGCCGCAGGCTGCGGAGACGGCTTGGCTCCAGATGGCGGGGCCGAACCCCGCTGGGAAGGGGGCGGTGGCTCCGGGGGTGGCCCGGGGCCGGCCCCACTCCTCTGCTCCCTGTGGTGGCGTTGTAGGTGATACTTGAGCGAGCCGGACTGGGTGCCCGCGTAGTCGCAGTGCGGACACTTGTAGGGCCGCTCGCCTGGGGAGAGTGGGTGGGATAGGGTCACAGGGTCACGATCACAGCACGCACCCACCCGAATTTCGCCCATTTACAGACCTCAACTTCAGAACCTCCCACCCACTTTGATTGAATGGAAGGTGCGTTTCCCAAGTGTTATCTAGCCAAACTGAACGCTTCACTTCCTGGGGTTTCGGCAGCCCTCACCTTTCTAGACCCCCAGTCCCTTCTCCACGCCGGAGGCTGCCTCCCTCACCTGTGTGCACTCGCAGATGCACTTTGAGGTGATGTGCCGAGCGGAAAGATTTTCCGCAGAAGGGACAATCCTTGCCGGTGGCACCCCGGCCCCCTTCAGGCCTGGTCCCTCCAACCAACAGCCCATTCTCTTCTGTAACACACACGTTAAGGGGAAGTCAGGGGGCCCTTCACCCTGTCCAGGTCCCACGCACCCACCCCACACCCACCCCATAAGGCTGCTTCCCCTCGGGGTCCAGGAGGAAACAGCAAGTATGGGGGAACCGGAACCTAAGTGGTTAGATTTGTTGTGACTAAAGAGTTAAGTGTTCTCAGATGATGGCAAAGTCTCCAGGAAAAAGCAAAACAAACAAATTAAAAAAAAAAAAAAACACCTCAGGAGAAATAAAAGATAGGTTCTTTTAAAAAGGAAGCTACAAGGGCAGTGGCGGCGTTAAGAGTCAGAAGAGGACGCGGCGCACCCCGAGAGAGGAGGGTCCCTACATACCCTGCGTGGCGGTCGATCTCGCCTGGGCCCCAGCAGCAGGCGCAGAGTGCCCGGGTCCCTCACCCGGGCGCGGGTGCAGGGAAGCTAGAGGGCCCATTGACCTGCCCCGGGCCCAGGTCTCCTCCTCGGTCTCCACCACCTCCTCTTCCTCCTCGGGCTCCTCCGCACGGTGCCGGCGAGCCCGGGCCGGTAGAGCAGATAGCGGGCGGAAGCCTCCGAAGCTGCGGCCGGCCCCCGGCTCAGCACCCTCGCCATTGGGCCGGCCCTCGCCAGCTCGCAGGCTCAGGTAGCCCAAGAGGCTCGGGGGCTCACGGCGCTCGGCCGGGGTAGGCGCCGGGGCCAAGAGGAGCGCTGGCCCCAACGGCTCATAGGCCAGCAGGCCCAGGTCAGGAGGCTGGGGAGCCCGGGCAGGCCCGGAGCCAGGCCCCGGGGCGCGCAGTGGGCCCAGCTTGCTGGCGTGCACCTTCATGTGGTTCTTAAGGAACCAGGGCTCCTTGAAGCAGCGGCCGCACACGGGACACGCGTGATCGAAGGAGGCCTTGTGCTTGCGCATGTGGCCCTTGAGAAACCAAGACTGTGTAAAGCTCTGGCCGCACACTTGGCAGCGGAACTCCGGAGGCGCTGGGGGCTCCTCGGGAGCTGTAGGAGCTGGGGCCGGGTTTGCCTCACGTTCGGGCTCCGGCTCTGGCTCCGGCTCGGGGACTGATCTGGGTTCGGGCTGGGGTGGAGGCTGAGCCTGGGGCGCAGCGGAGGTGGCCGCCAGAGGGCGCTCGGGAGCTCCATGGGCGGTCAGGCTGTGGTGCAGCAGCTCCTCCTCCTGGCTGGCGCCGAAACTGCACAGGCCACACTTCCAGGGCCTGTGCAGGATGTGCAGGTGGCGTTCCCGCTCCGCCAAGGTGCGAAACTTGCCTTTGCAGTAGGGGCAACGGAAGGCGGACGATGAAGGAGCTTGGGGCCGCGCCAAGCCCTCAGTCGCAGGGGCGGCCTGCATGCCGCCTGAGCTTCGGGCTCTCCCCAGTCGGGCCTCGCGCAGTAGCGCACGCTCTTCCAACTCCAGCAACAGGCGTGCAGCAGGACTACGTGGGCGCTCGGGCTGGTGTGTGCGCAGGTGCGAGCGCAGCAGAGCCCGCTGCGCCGCACGGTGGCCGCAGTGAGGGCACTGGAAGGCCTGGGCGCCTGGGTGTGCCCGCAGGTGCAAAGCCAGGATAGAGTTGAAGCGGAAGCGCTTCCCGCATACAGGGCAGGGGAAGCGCCGTTCGCCTGCACGACTCTCAGACCAGCTCACTGCTCCCATCCCAGGTGACCCTGTGCTCACGGCTGGCCCGTTGGAGTATCGCTGCAGATCCAGCTCGCCGTCGAAAGCCGGCGGCGACGGCGCTAAGTGGCCGCTCGGGGCACGGGGACGTGAGCCCTGTGGAGAAAGATCTGCGTAGAGCAAAGGGTGAAGGTAGAGCTGTAAAGGAAGCAAGGGCGTCGCCTTGAGGGCCAGAAAGACGACACGAGGGAAGGTGGGCTGGGGTCTGAACTAGGAACACAGGGTGCCACTCACCTCGGGAAGTTGGGGGGGCTGTGTGGGAATCGAGATGTCAGGGCCAAGGAGTTAACTTCTAACAATGGGAGGTCAAAGAGAGAGAGAGGTAGGCAGGAGAGGGAGTATACAGTTGTAGGTAGGTACTTGTAGGTTGAAGTCAGAGCTTCACTCACCTCCATGGACCCCCTTCACATTCTTTGGTTCTGGGGGGTGCAGGAAAGAGGAGGAAAGGCTGCTAATGAAGGCAACAGGTGCTGTGGAGCTAAAGCAAGAGACAGATTTGGAGGAAAAGGTGAGCCCTAGTTTTCAGCAGTAAAGTCACTCCCTACCCCTAGACTCCCAGCACTCTGTATTCCAAAAACCAATCCCTTCTCCCTACTTGCATCTTGAGGCATGAAGGGGCTGCTGTACTCAAAAACTGTACCCCTTGATTTGCCAAGCCCACCAGCCTCCCAGATAATTCAGATTGCTTCCCCAAATTCTGTATTTTAAATGCATGGTCCAGAACAACCACAGCTACCACCCTACCCCCTGGCGGTGGGGAAGACCATCACAGTATGCCCCCCTCCCATGTAGGTTGGGCTGTACAGTATGGTGAGCAAATGGGGTGGGCTTGACATGCTCCCCAGTTATCCAAGTGGGACCAGTTGCTCTGAGAACCCTGACCAGCCAGCCACACATCCTTCCAGGTTCCACAGTGCTTCCTTCTGCCCTTACCCTTTCTGTCTTTCCCCCCTTCATTCTCCCTCCCTCTGCCTGGATTCCTGATCCATTCATTTCCATTCATTACAGAGACTCATTCATGCATGGGAGAGAAACACCTCCCAGCAGCAGAGTCTGAAGACAGACAGAGGGGGAGGGGCATGAAGGGGGAGGGAGAAGGAACGAAGAGAGAGTTGGGGGAGGAGTGGAAGTTAAGGGGCACAGCTAGCCTGGGGAAGAGGTTAAAAACTGCAAATACCGTACGGGATTCATCCCCTCGTTTCAAACCTTGGAGCCTGCAGTATGATGGGGCATCTGAGCCCCTTTGTCCAGGGCTGTTCTGAGGCAGGCTTTCCTCCTCTCTGCAGGGGAGAGGCTCCCTCACACAAGAGGAGGATTACACTGGCTCTGAGCTCAAGAGGCTGGAGTGAGGGACGGGGGGCGGGGCTGGGCCATCTGCACAGATAGGGACTCAGCACATGCTCTGAGCAGGAAGGGGTTAAAATTCTCCAGGCTAAAATTCCCTAGGCCTGGGACTTGCAGAGCTCCAGTACTGGGGAAGAAGAGCATTGAGAGGAAGAGGATGGGGGGTGGGAGGGGGGTACTGATCCTAAGCTGCAGAGGAGTTCATTCAGCACGAGGACTTAGAAGAAACCCCAGAATCAAGATTCATGGAAGTAGGCCTGGAGGATGACCAGAAGTCATCTAGTCTACCTTTCTGCCTCATATAGAATTGTATCTGGTCAAGGCTAAATGAATGTGGGCCTAACCTTTTTTTTTTTTTTTTTTGGCCTAAGAAAGAATGTTTGAGATATAAAGAACTTCTTTACAATAGGCATCATGAAACTGAAATAGGTTACTGAGAAAGAAAAAGATGCAAGCATTACTTTGCCTAAGGATCTTTAATGGAAAAGAACTGGGCCAAGCGTCAACCTGCCTGTCAGCAGAGAGAAAAAGCTCTGGAGGTCCAAGGCTTCTTCAATTTTTGACATTTATTGTATGTGTTAAGACTCCATGAAGGGGCAGGTACCTGTTACATGTGGAATCTGGGCTATAGGATTATTATTAGCAGACGATTAATTAACAAAGTGTCCTTGTCCAAGGGTCACTAGGCGACTTCCACTACCATTTAATATGTGTATTTCTGTAGCTTCAAATTAGGGCGCCCTCTCTCATCCTCTGGATCTTTTCCTGGGACTAAGAGCCTCACCAGGCTCACCGAATAGTGTCACAAAAGGTGAATTAGAATAAGACTGAGGTGTACAAGGCTATTGTAGTCCTGGTCTGAACATTGATAACCCTACAACCTTCACTAAATCACTTAACTTCCCAGTTTACTCATCAGTAAAATAGAGGATTGGACTAATTTATATTGTTAGTCCCGTCCTGCTCAAAAAAAAAAAAAAATGTTTGTTGTTCTAAGTTACAGGACTCATTTGGACCCCAGAGAGATGTTAAAACAAATGGTCATCCCTTCAGTACCATGGAGAGTGCAGTGGGCTACCACAGAAGCCACTTTGGCCACCTCAGTACCATAGATAGAGTTATGAGGTGCTAGAGGGGCTGTTTGCCATTTTAGCATCACAGATACAACACAGAAAAGCTAGAGCATTTTTTTTTCCCGTTCCTATCTGGAAACCATAGAAAAAAACCCAGTGGCACCAGAGGGATTATTTTGGCCTTTTGGATGTCACTGAAAATAGAAAGAGCTAATAGAAAATAGATGTAACTAGAAGAATTTTAATTAGCTATACGGAGCGTCCTGACAGTTACAGTTTGTACATCCTGGAATGAGTTACTGAGGCATCATATTTGGGTCCATCACATTCTGTTGCTCTCCTGGGGATTCCCGGAACATCCTGGTGTACAGCCAATCTGGTATATTCAGAGGAAGCAGATGGTGGTTGCGGGGGGGGGGGGGGGGTGGATGCTGGGAATACTGCATGGTCATAGCTGACTAACCTATGGGCACATACTCTGATTCTGAGAAGATTCTAGGGTCCCTAAAACTGTCTGTAGGATAGCAAGCGAAATCTCCTATGAAGCTGGCCTCATATCTGAGGCAAGAAGAGTGGGAATAGGGCAAAGCTTCCTCTCCCAAAACAAAACGATAAACCACTTTGCACATAGCAGTTTCCAGAACAGAAATACAGTGATATGCAAGAAGGCCCAGACTGAAGCTGAACTCCCCAGCAGGGAAAGTTTCCCCAGAGGATGGCCTAAAATCAACAAAACTCACTGAGGTACCTTCCCAGGCCCAATCAAGATCTCTTCAATCATCTCTGTGTCAAACCAGGTTCCAGACACCTGATCGTGTGATTTTTTTCTTAGCAGGGGAAAGAACTAAGAGAGACTGGGATACTATCAACTGCCTTGGAACTGAGGTCATGTGTGTATTGCCCCTGGGCAATAATCACAGAGTTTTCCATAGTCAGGACTTAAACACCATCCTCCAGACTTGGCCAGACAGCAGCACTGACCTACTTTCCACCCCCACTGGGAATCAGGGGTTATCTTGCCCTTATTTGGATTCTATAAGGATGCAGGGCCAGGGATAGGTATCAGAAACCTTTCAAAAGCAACAGGCCAATTATCCTCACGTTCTGGGGCAGCTGGTAGGGAAGTGGCTGTGGACCACTAAACCCTAGTAAAGAAGGATGGAATGGTTGGTGAAAAAACTTAGAAACAACAAGGACAGGTACATAGAAGTATCTATGTCCTAAATGGACCACAAAAACTGTCCCTCAAGTTTTGTAATTCAAAAGTTTCTAGGGTCACAGTATAAGGAGCAAGGGTTCAGGACTTCTGGGGTCCAGCTGTAACTGTCTCTTGTCACCTCTAACACCACAGTTTTCTGTCTTGAGAATCCTACACCTCCCAAATCTGCTAACAATTATGATTACCACTGCACTAAATGGGGTTAAAAGGAAAAGGGGCTTCTTAGGTGGTCTAGAGTCAAGACTCCCTTGATCACACAGACACGCCAGTAGTTTGCTTTAATGGTCTCTTCTTCATGGCCCTCTGAACCTCACTGCTCAGATAGCTCCTCCAAACCCACTCCACTGTGCAGCTCACTAGCCATTTTGGACTGAGTTCTCGGTAAAGCCGCCTTCCCTCCTTCTTTCTGTCCTCACTTTCCTGAGTTGAGGACATAGAACCTCAGCCATGGACTCCAAAGGTACAGAAGGAGGCGAGAGGAAGGCACATCTGCTCACCTGCTGCCATCCCACCATGGGGAATCTTATCCCAGAGGCATGTCCTAACACAACCCCAATTTTGATTTTGAAAGTTCTGGAGGACCTGGGTTTGGGGAAGGGGGACATGTTGCCAGCCCTAAGTCCCCTTTACTGGAGCTGACCCTAGAAAAGTCAGTCTTAGCACCCATGTGAGCCTCAGTCTTCAGACTGGGAAGTAGGGGTGATGGAGGGAGCCTCTGAGAAAATCCCCCTCCCAGAAATAGGCTGCTAAGTAGGGTAGGACCTGCAATCTGCCCGAGAGGTTTCTCCAGCAGCACCTCAGACCCCTCCCCAGGAAGATAAGCCAGAAGAATGATGGGGGGCAGGGTTGAGAGATAGGGAGGCCAAGGCTCAGCTACCCCCGGCCAGGAGAACAAAAGCTGAGTTACAGCCGCCTCCGCTGCTGCCGCGGGCCGAGCTCTTTGTGACACTTTGTTTGGGACGCAAAGAGGGAAGCACCCCCCATCCTCTCCCCTCCCCCGCCACCCCGTGCTCCCGGAGAGTTTGGGCTCCTTCCCCCTCCCCCACAAGCCCTACCTGGGCCGGGGGCTGCGGGGGTGCACATCCACTCAGGCTCGCGGCTCTGCCGCCCCTCACCCCCAGGCCCCTCGCGCCCTGCCTTCGGGCCCCTACAAAGACACCCCCCACCTCCGCCCCCACATATTCCCCCCAGTTGGCCCTTCCCTTTGGTGTCTGCTCCCCCAGCTCCGCCACCTGGCCCCCCCTCCCTCGGGGCCCCCCAGCTCTCCAGGCTTCCGAGGCCGCCACCCCCACCCCGCCCCCCCAGGAGCTCTGGGCGAAGTTTGCTTGGGGCCGAGCCGGCGCCCCTCCCCCGCCCCCGCCCCCTGCACCTGCTCCGAGCCGGGCGCGCGGAGCGGGCCCCCCCTCCGGGAGGGGGGAGGGGGCCGGGGGCGGGAGCCGGGTGGCGGACGGGGGGGCCCGGGAGTGGGGGGAGCGGCTACTCACGAGCCCCGGGCGGGCGGCGGCGGAGCGGGCGGCGGCGGCGGCGGCGGGCGGCGGGCCGGCGGCGCGGGCGTCAGCGTTACGTGGGGCCGGGGGAGATGCGCCGGGCCCCGGCCCCCCCGCCCCCGGCCCGGCCCCCGCCCCCTCCCCGGTCCCCCGCCCCCGGCCCTGGCCCGCATTGTGTGCGGCGGGAGGCGGCCCGGCCATTAGCATGCGGGGGGCGGCGCGGCGGGGCTGGGAGCCGCGCGGGAGCCGGGCTCTGGCTCCAGGGACTGGGAGCTGGGGACCCCGGGAGCCGCGAGAGGCGGCCGCCAGGGGCGGGGTGCGGGCGGTTTGGAGACGGGGGGCACCGTCGGAGGGAGGGAGGAAGGGAGGGAGCGGGGGTGGGGCGCACAGACGATTCCAACAGGAGACTGGAAGAGATTTTGAAAGGTCATCTCGTCCTTCCCCCAGCCTCCAAGCAGCACTGCCCCTCCCACCCCAAACCCGGACATACCAGGGAAGGAGTTGGCTCTGCCGCTCTTTCTGCCCCAACATGCACAGACTCGGGAAGTTCTTCCTGGGGTTTTATCTCAAAGCCTCTCCCTTACAATTTCTGTCTCTCTTTTGGGGGAGGAGGAGGGGCGATTATAGAGATAGTTAATGTCGGCCGTATAAGAAACATTATTAAAGTTACTCTTCGGTCCTTTCCGTTCTTGATAAACAATTCCTGCTCCTTCCTCTCGAATTCTATTTTCCATTCCTCAAGTCACTTTCATGGCTCTTCAATACAACAAATATTTACTGAGTGCTTACTAAGTGCCAGGCACCGGGCTCAGCGCTGTGGGGGATGAAAGAGAAGTGGTATCTTCCTTCTAAGCGATTGTAGTCTAGACTACAAACTGGTAAGTAGTATACTCAGATTTAGTCAATATTTACTGAATGCCTGTTCACCTGTCTAATAGTATATAATCTTTCCAATAACCCTCTATAATAAAATTAGTCCCCATTTACAAGTAAGAAAAATGAGACTTCAGGGAGTCTCTTTCTCCAATGGCCTGCAAGCTCTGGGGTCCTCAGTGCAAGCCCAACATCTCACATCGCCAGCAAATAAAATTAATGCACATGGGAATCGAGGAGGAGTAGACACACAACGGTTTTCTGGATCCCTTTAAAATGTGACTCCCACTCGCTGGGAAAGAAAAGAGTAGATACGATGCCCCGCCAATGTTGGCACAGCACGGATGGGGCAGAAGTGGCTTACAAAAAGGTCGCTTGCTTCCCAGGACCCTGCCTCCTGGTACTAACTTCTGGGGTCCTCTGGCATAGTCCCCTCTTATCGTCAGCAACAAGCAATAATAGTAGTGATGATGACAATAGACACTAACATTGAGCACTTATGTGCCAGGTTCTGGGCTAAGCTCTTCTTCCATGCTGAAAGCAACCCCTTGAGGCTGGTATTATTTAACTTCCTTTTACAGATAAGGGAACAGAGAGATTAAGCAACTTGCTAAGGGCCCCCAGGTAGATCTGGGATTTGAACAGAGATCTGGTTACCTCCAGACCTCAGGCTCTGTACCAAGATGGGCCTTTCCTATTATATCTTTAATCTATAGAGTATATTTGGGCCCAGCTGGTTGTGCTTCTGACTGTAGAAATGTGTCCCCAGCTTAGCTTCTGAATAACACCTTTAGTGTATGGGCATCAAGCTTATCAGTGTGACCTCATCAGCACCGCGAAAGTTATTAAGCACCCACCCCAAATCAACAACTCTTCATAGTCATATCGTTAGCCCCCTTTTATCAGTGAACAAACAGGTTCAAATAGGTAGAAAAATGTATCTAATAGGCCACACATAGTGGCTCACACCTGTAATCCCAGCAGTTTGAGAGGCCAAGGAAGGGGTATCTCTTGAGCCTAGGAGTTTGAGACCAGCTCAGGCAACTTGGTGAGACCCTGTCTCTACAAAAAATTTAAAAATTAGCTAGACACAGTGGCATGTGCCTGTCATCCCAGCTACTTGGGAGGCTGAGGCAGGATGATTATTTGAGCCCAGAAGGTGGAGGCTACAGTGAGCCATGATGGTGGCACTGCATTCCAGCCTGGGCGACAGTGAGCCCCTGTCTCAACATAATAATAATAATAGGCTGGGCATGGTGGCTCATGCCTGTAATCCCAACACTTTGGAAGGCCAAGGCGGGTGGATCACTGGAGTTTGGGAGTTCGAGACCAGCTTGACCAACATGGAGAAACCCCATCTTTACTAAAAATACAAAATTAGCCAGGTGTGGTAGAGCATGCCTGTAATCCCAGCTACCTGGGAGGCTGAGGCAGGAGAATTGCCTGAATCCAGGAGGCAGAGGTTACGGTGAGCGGAGATCAAGCCATTGCATTCCAGCCTGGGCAACAAAAGTGAAACTCCACCTCTAATAATAATAATAATAATAATAATGGATCTAAGATCACACAGATGGAAAAGCAGCAGAGCTAAGATTTCAGTCCAGGTCTGTCTGGCTATGAGGCACCTTCTCTCTCAAAAATATTAATTGTTACAATAGTATCCTTTCCAAGACTCACTATTTGAGGATCATATATATATATGTACATATATATATGTCCAGCTGCAGGTTATCATTGAATCAAAAACAATTCCCACTATAAACAGGACGCCCCATCCACTTAGTGTTCAATTCAGAGTAAAACCTTCAAGAAAGGGAAGGGAGACCGTCCAGAAAGTGAGAGGCAAGAAAGCCACTGGAATTCAACCTTACCTGGTCTGGGGGCAAAGTTGCAAGTAGTAATGACAGGGGACCAATCCAGACAGAAAGTAAGGTCTCTAGGGAAGGACAAGTAATGTGAGGGGAAAGCCAAAGAAAGGAGTAAGATTATATGGAAATGAGGAGAAATTGAGGTCTAGAGTGATAGTGTCCCTGATTAAGTGAAACCAGAAGAGGAACCCAGGATGGGCAGAAATGGGGGTAATGAGAAATGGGAACAGAGTGGGGTCAGGCTAGATGTCTTGTGAAGTGAACTGAGGCTGGTATGTACCCAGGGCCACTCCCTAGATCCTTAGACCTTCACAGAAACCTTTGCCCCACCACACCCCATCTCTGACAGCCTTTCTCTGCCAGGACAAGTTTGTCGTCTGCTCTGAGCTATCAAGCCCCTCAGAAGTCGTAGGACCCAGCTGAATCCCATCCCTTTGGAGTAGCTACTTCAGACTAGGTAGGTGTGAGGTCCTGGACCTCAAATCCCTGGATATTGGGAGTGGGCAGAGGTGTAGCTGAAAGATATGTTGTTGCATGTCCTGTCTCCTAATAGACAGACCCATAATGCATTTTTCCCAGCCTAAGAAGCACCTAGTTCTTGTGGGTAAAGGAGCCATGGAAGATAGAGCTGGTCAGCAAGAGCAGGAGAGACACAACCTTCGTCTGGAAAAGCTACAACGCTGGGCAAGGCACAGGCGGAGTGGGCACCTCTTGGTGCTGGCGGTGAGGCCAGGCTACCCCATCCCAGGTCTCAGCATGTCCACTTGTACCCAGTTCAGTTCCGTCCATTTATCCATCCATGTTGAGTGAGCACCTACCATGTACCAGAAAATGTGCTAGGTTCTAAATGGGAGGAGGGTGGAGAAAACAGAAATAAACAAGGCAAGACCCTTAATCTCCAAGTAGCTTCCATCTTGTGGGGAAAACATACAGGTAAGTAACTAAACTACAATATGAGGTGGAAAAAATTAAATGATACTTAATGTTTAATGATCACTTCCTTCATTGCTCTGGGTTGACTGCTTTCCTCCATCCTGCATAAAATCCTGTTTGCTGATCTCTAAAGAGGTAGGAGTTATGAGAAGGGAAAGGAATCCCTGACAGTTCCTCCTCAATTACCCTCCCCTGACCCCCAGGTGAGCCAGCTATGGCTGGCAGTGGTTGTGGTGCCCTTTGCCCTCTCAGTCGCCTGCCTGAACTCTGATTGCCACATGGCTACAGTGCTGCCTCTTGGGCCTGGAGTCTCAGTAAGACCCACCACAAGGGAGGGTGGAAGGAAAGTCCCAGGGCCCCTTCCTAACATAACCAGAGCTCAACACTTGCCCTTCTCACCATTCAGGGTCTTCTCACTGGGATTGTCACTCTTGAGCTTCGCAGAGCACCCCGCCTCTGGAAGGTGAGAGGGAAGAGAATACAGTACTGTTCTCCCACTCTCTAAAACAGACATCTACACCCCTCAGCCTAGGAAGTAAGCGGCTAAGTGTTGACTTGCCCTCTCAGCTGTCACCATTGACTGGACTCAGTGACTGATGAGGGAAAGCAAAAAAGTTAGAGGGCTTTTGGCCCTGTTTGGAAGCTTAGAAGCAGGAAGTGAGTTTTGTCTTCAGCTAGGCTGCAAGTGGGGATTGAGGTTGGAATGAGTCCTGAGGCTGGGCAGGACTGAGCTGGCTCACTGGCAGGTGCAGGCCATGATGATATTCAACACTTTCAACTTGATCTTGGGTTTCATCGTGGTGGTGGTCGAGGTGATGAAGACAGCCTTGGGGCCTGCCCCAACTGCCCCCTCCAAGGTACTGGCAAATGAAGGGGAGGTGGGAAGATGAGGAGACAAGAGATGGAGAGCGAAAAGGGCAAGGGCAAACAGGTGCGGGATC